TTTTCCTCCCAAAAGTCACCCAAACCAGACTTTTATGAGAATCCAATCATTCAAATCACCTTTGCTTTGAAACGACGAAATCACCCTATATTCATTGGGAGAAACCTCTCGACCTCGTGGGGGGCTGAATCCGCACTTAATCCAGTGTGGGTTGTCACATCGCTCTTCCTTCCCCTTCATCAGGGATTCTTGGGATGAAGACGAAGCTCCGAGATGATCTCATCGCCTGATGAGAGAGGCAGGAGGATCAATTGATGCAATTAGTGAAGACCAAAGACAATGAGAGTTTCCATCATTAGGGCTTAGGAGGGGAGGAGTAGTTGCGGACTCTTCGATCGTGGGGGACAAGGACATCCTTCTCGCTCCTATTGCTCCGTTCTTGAAGAAGAAAAAAAATTATCTTGAACTCGTGGCGTGATCACACAGCAGTCTTGTTTCCTCACTCCTGGCATTCGAACCTTACTACTAAGGAGAGTGCGTTTCGCTTGCGACTGCCTTCCGTCACCTTACTTGCATACTTTCCGAATCCCATCTTTGAGTTCTACGCCATTTTAGTTTAAGGTGCATGCCACCTTCAACTTTTCTTGATTCGACTCATAAATCAGGCGCATCATGTTTTATATATCCACCATTGGACCTGCATGTCACCTCATGCCACGTACAGTCGCAGAAAGTCAAAGGCATTATCTTCTTTAACCCGACGCACTTGCTGATTTTATCGAAGCAGAGAATGAATATTTTGATGCATGCAGCTGCAGGCAACCTATCGGCGATTAATCAGGATAGGCTTGAAGCTGTCAAAGCAGGATATCGCCCTTAAGATGTTGAACATATATTACAGGAAGCGAGTTCAAGGATACAATATGTCATGCCTTTTTAGAATTGTGTTGTGACGTCTGTCCGTCACTCCTGTAAGCCCTTAGGGGAAGAGAATTAACAGTCGACACCCATCTAGACGAGCAGTTTTGATTGCCTGAAAGTTTTCGGGCATCACAGGACTCTCGGATGAACATGCATCAATCCGAATCCAGGCTCAGCAAGACATGCATTCTATAGGGTGACCAAAAAGTCATGACCCATTTGTTTTGCTGAGTAATCACATTTTGTGAAAAGTTACAAGTTTGACATTTTTGCAATTGTTCCTGGAAGGTTGGGAGATCGGTTTGAAGCATGCATAAGTGGGCGACAGAACATTGTGCAGCAATAGTAGAGCTGTATTGCTGTAACAGGAAATCAGTGGTCGCGTAACAAAAACTTCGTGAAGGACACTTATGCACACCAAACCGCTTTTTGAAGGCGCGTCGAGCGGCAGCACGACAACCAATGATTTCCCATTACAGAAATACAGTTCTACTATTGCTGCACGATGTTCTGTCGTCCACTTATCCATGGTTCAAATTAATCTTCCCACCTTCCAAGAACAACTGCAAAAATGTCAAATTTGTATTTAAAAAAAACAACCTGATAACTGTTCACAGAACGTGATTATTCAGCAAAACAAATGGGTCATAACTTTTTAAGGGCGTGACCCGCAACGATTCTTAATTTTTTTTCAGCTCAGGTTTTCAACTTTTTAGTTTCTTTTTTGCATATTGCACCAGCCTGCCATACGGTAAATTGAATTGCTTCAGTGTGCTTGCGATCTGCGGACAAGTCCGCGCTTACTTCTCTTGCTTAATTCAGTACTCCTTGCTCCTTAGGAGGTACTTCGGAGATACCTTTACGGTAGCACGTGAGACCCCTCCATGCTCAAAGTGGTAGATCTCGTTAGATCATATCTCTTGCCTTGGCAAGAGACATTGGAACCAGGCTTATCAAGATAATAACTCAGGAATTTTAATATTAAGTGCTTAGTAGTACTTCCTATATTAGCGCAGGACTTGAGACCTCCAAGAAAGAATCCATTAGTCACCAAAGCGAATCCATGGATACCTCATTTGTCAGACTAAAGGCGTGTCCCAAAACGCGTACAGCCTGAGCAAGTGGAGTTCAACGAATGAGGATGCCTCATTCATTGGTCATGTAGGTTTTGCTTCATGTCTTTCTGTGCTTGAAGTGCATTTTGTCATGCACTTTTTATTACTATTATTTTTGGTAGTTGATTAGTACTTGAGACCGCAAAAATGCGCACTCGCAAAGCGAGACTAGTCCAAGCATAAAATTGAGTAAAATTGTTCAGGCTATATTTGCATCACTTCGATCTGTTTTGGTTATTAGGCTATTTTTTTTTTAGTAAGTGCAGGATTATATTATACCTTTCGCAACTTGCTTTTAGATGGTTTGCTATTCATTTTCGGCATTCGGTGAGTGAAGAATGTCGTCGGAAATATGTGCGAAAAGTGGTAGCAGTTTCGGCAAATCAGAATCGCCTTTCATCCATGAGAACTGGATCGCATTCGGAGACATATGGTTTCGGCAACAAAATGTCATTTTCAGCGTTTCCCATGCAAGTAAAACTGTAAATGAAATACGACGACTAGAATTCGAGATCGTCCGCGGTGTTTCGAGTCCGTCGACGAGCAAATTTCCTTCAAAATCCCTATAATGGAAGTCAAGAATGAAGTTGAAGCAATTGGGAATGAAAGTAGCAATCATTATAAAGAGCATTATCTGCTCTAGAGTGGATCGTAGGTGCAGGTTTGAGACTTCTCCCGTGGATAATCATTGGTATTTATTCGAGGGGAATGGGAAGGGTTATTTGATTATTCAAGCAAGGGAAAGCAATAGGACTGCAAGAAACGCCATAAATTCAGCCTACAATCGAGTTTACGGTGAAAAAATGCTGTGTGTCAACTGGGATCCGCTAGCAAGAAACTCGTAATTCGTTTTCGGTATTCCGTAGTTGAAGAATGTCTGCAGAAGTATCGGTGAAAAGTGACCGCATTTCCGGCAAAAGGATATCTGTTATCGTCCATGAGGGATGGGTTGTATCAGGAGGCACGCGGTTTCGGCAATGAAATGTCATTTTCGGCGTTCCGAAGGAAACATCCTCCATTACTGAAACTGAATGTGGAATACGGCGACTGGAATCTCAAGATCCAAAGCGGAATCTGGAATACATCGTCGGACGCGTTTCCGGCTAAAATTCGCTATCGGCGAGCAGAAACGAAGTCGAAGCAATCGCGAGTGAATGTCGGAGCAACTCTTAACACGTGTTGGCAAGTCGAAATATGCTAGTGATTTCACATGTGCTTCAATTTTGTTGCTCGATCCGGCTGAAAAGTGCACCCGAGTGCCGAATATCGTCATTTGTGCCGAAACCCAATTTCCTCTATGAATTTCAATAGCCTATTTTCCGTTTTGTCTTCCAAATGACGAAATATAAGGAGGAATGCTGAAATTCGGATATAAGGTGACGAGAATATCCTTAGATGGGCAAAGCCTGCCGAACATCATTCTCTGCGTCCCGAAAATTCTTCCTGAACGCCGATGTGCAAATTCGCGGCGTTATTCCCCTTCCACTGAGAAGAAAAGGGGAAAATGTACCAAAAATGAATTACAATCCTTATGAAGGGGGATTACTAAGGTCTAAAACCTTGATTGATTGATATCGAAATGCATCGCTGACAACGATTGGCTTATCAATCATGCCGAATGTAAGATTTCTGAAGATGTGCAAGAAGTTCCTGTCATTTTCCTGGTCATTCATTATTGTTGTGATCCGACTGAGAAGCTGGCCTCAGTGGCTTTTCCCATCGAATGTTGGTAAACTCAATTTCCAGCTCGAATTGTTTTGCCGTCGCTCTTTAATTTTCTGTCTTCCGCAAACGAAATACGAGGAGGAATACCAAAATGCAGATACAGGATGCCAAAAATGATGATTCCTTTCGGAAAGTCGGCCGATCATCTGCGTACCGAAAATTCATCTAAATTGCGAATTTTTCAATGCTTTGCGCTTATATTCACTTTCCATTCTGAATAACAAGGGGAAATGTGCCGAAAATGAATTAAAAACCATCTAAAAGCAAGTTGCAAAAGGTATAGTACTCGAGACTCCCAAAGGGTACTCCTCGAGAACGAGATACGTCGAACGATACCTCATTTATCGAAATTGGTCAGTAGTTTTTGCTTTACTTCTGATCGTACGTTACTTCCCAGTGCATGCCTTTTATTTTAGCGCCGAAATTAGCTCCAGTTTTGCGTTTCAGACGAGTTATCGTAACATGACAATCCCAGGATTTTTTTTTTTATCATTATAGGAGAGGAGCTTAACAATTGATCAGTTGCTCCGGTGCCGTGAGAAGGGATAGAATTCCATTCCTCTTTGAATCCCATTCTGTCTTGTGTGTTGTGCAAGCCAATTTCTTCGTTTCTCCTTCACGCCTCACGGCCACTCCAGTATTACCTCCTCGTGAAATTTATGAACTTCTGTTTGGGACGAGAGGAAAAACCGTTTGTTACATTGGCTCCCTCCGCTAGTTTCATTTCCCGGTCCCGTCTGCAAGTTCAGGACAGAAAGATCCGTCGGTCGTGTTTACTGGCCCCCCCGTCATCGTCGTTCTTCGATTCTCCGGGGGACGGAGATATTCCATTTCATTTCCATTCCCCCCTTTGTTTTTCGCGAGGTGGCCCAGTTTTTATTGAGGAGCCAGGATTTTTTTTTTTTTTTTTTACTGTACGTTGCCCCCCGTCGGCGCCAGATGAATATCAGTGGAACCTACAGTCTCGTCTGCTTTCCTCGTGTCTTCCACTCTCCTCACTCCTGCATGCATCTGATCACATGGGAAAAGGGAAAAGAGGGAGGGCGTTTTCGTGACTTTCGCAGGGATTCCCTGACTAGAGACATCTCTGGGAATTAATGAATCCTGGTCACGGGGGTCCCTCTGCTCCACATTTATTGTCAACGATACAAGTTTCCTGTATTGCACGGAATGCCATCGTGGTAGGATTCCCCCCATTCCTCCTGTATGCTATTGACTTAGAGCGAAAAGCTGTAAAAAAAAATGCGAATGAAAATACCAGAATTTCGCTATTCTGTATCTTGAAACCTATCTGCAAGGATGTGTGAGTATCTTGAAATGATCCTATGACTGACTTCCCTGCTTCCTTTGGCGAGTACTGCAGTGGAGGAGGGGGTGAAAGTATAAGCAATGAGGAAAGAATTTTGCACTCGAGCATCGCTGGATATCTCAAAAGATGAAGATGCAAACTTCTACGGATTCTACCCCTTACGCATCCTGTCTCGTGTATTTTGGGTTTCATTAACTTGGGTTTCATTGACTTTGGCTTGTCTGATGATCCTGATGCAAAACTCTCATCAGTGATCTCATCCGTTCCCGATAAGAAAACGATTGAAAAATAATTCATTTATTTAATGTTTTATGGTGTAGCAGGGCTCGTTTTCTTTTATTGACAGACCGCGTGGGCATTAACGTACCCTAGGTTATGTCATGCTAACTTCATGATCCCGCCATAGCCTGTAGATGGCAGCAGAAGTCCATGGGTCGCTTTGCTACTGAATCTTCAGCTGTCTGATATGGTCTATTCCCAATCGCCATTCATTGCCATTAGCTTATTCTGAAGTTTGGCCCTCACACAGGAAGTCGTAGAACGATTACTTAATTGGACCTATGGGATTCTATGAGGATTGATTACTCTTGCTTTACAATGGTTGCTTTCCATTTTCCTTTTAAAAAAAAATCTGAAAAATCCCATGGGAGTCAATGGTGAAGAACCGCCATGATACCAACCATTATGACTTCTAATTTGCAACATGCATGCCATACCTATCCTGCTCCTATGCCTAGGCCATCTCCAGTTAGGACAGAATTCATTTCTATGAACCATGTTCGAGCTTCATGAAACTGCCAAGGTGCTCCAGCACATTCTCCATAGGTACTCATGTAAATTTCACAACAAGCTGCCTAATTATCTAAATTTGTATTTTCCTCAGGAAGAAAAAAGCCAAAGAATGCGTCTCCGAGAAATCGCGCGCCATTTCTGATTCTTGAGGCGTGCAGAGGCTCTTCAGTACTTAGTATTTTCTTCTCACCAGAATCACGCATTTTGACGGCTTTCTTGTCCATGCAAATGGTAATGAGATTCGTCACAAACGAAGTTTATTGTTTAAATCGTCATCCTTGCCAATTTGCTGCGAAAACCATCTGCGACAATCTTTTCTCTTCTGGAAATTTTCTGGTTGCTAACTGAAATCAACGTGCTGAAACCGAAACACTTTGTCAGTTTGTTTATGCCCTCACAAGGGTCAGAGAAAATTATTGTCGCACCAAAGTGGAAGAAAGAAACTTCCATTCTGAGGTTTGCTGATCGTCAGTCTGCATAAAAATTAAAGGGTCACTTTCGATTCAATCATGATAATGTTGCCCTTAGATAGTCACTTTATGGTCACCCTGTATTTGAAGGGTGTCTGGAACCGACGATTAACCACAATTTTTGCTTTTTTTTATCTTTATGATGGAGGCGTCACCTCTCCCCTTTCAAATTCGCACTCCAGAAAATCAGTGTTAAGAGTGAAATTAGAACTGTGTGATGGAATAAAATCCCTACCTGCTTCTTTTGCAGGTCCTTGTCTCCGGGGAACTTCTCACGGGCGCCGTATCAACCTCCTCCGTCGTCCAACGAGGACGGTGAGTGACAGAGCTTTGCTTTACTTAGAAATGAATCGCTGAAATCCATGACAGGCCGTTATTTCCGTCAACCTGTATTGTATATTGAACAGAGAAGCGAGGGAAGAAGCGAGGGACGTTGAGGAAGATCTTCCGGACCCTAGGTCGACGGGATCGAGATAGGGGTCGAAGGGATCGTGACAGGGACCGACGAGATCGAGATGGAGAAGATCCCCATCCTCTTTCCCTTCCTTACGAGTACAATCACTCATCTCATTCTCAACCCACTGATGATATCTTGGATTCTGTACGCAATTTCTTATTCCTCCTATTTCAAACCAAGTCTTGTTTTCACATTTCTCCATGAAATAATTTTTAAATTTAGTTTACTGTATCAGTTGTATACATGTAATATATTTCATTATTGATTCATTCAAGTAATTCATTTTTAAAGAGCGTAGCGGCAGATCCATTAATCACTCCGGCGCCCCCAAGCCTGGTTCTTCCACCCGTCCCAGAGCGGAGATGGTACATGGAATCCGAAAATCGAATCCCCATCACTGAAGCCATTCAAAGGGTGAGAAGAGAAAGCAACTCTTCCTTTGGTACATTTTTTTCCAGAGTCCTCTCACCACCAAACATTTTATTGTCTGGGCTATTGCAGTACAAGCAGATTGAGCGTCAGAAGAGGCTGGACCGGGAAGCCCGTTCAGATGAGGTCAGTCTCTTCTTTTCTTCCTTAACTTGAATTCTGGACTGTTTCCAGATACATTTTGTTGAAGGTTAATGATGGGTAAATTTGGCCGATTCAAAAATAACGATAACAGGCACCCGTAATGACTGATATCAATAAACCAATACCGATATTATGTCCGTCAAATGAGTTTTGAGTATAAAGTTTATAGCAGATGCTTCAAAAGTGCATAATAATAACAATGTCAACTGAAAATTCTTATTTCCTCTGAGACGTCTTGGGGGGTCGTAAGTCACGCAAGACACGGCTATTATTGCATCAAATTTTCAATTTCAACACCTTCATATCTGCAAGCGTTGAAATATCGGAGCAATATCGGAGTTTGATAACCAGTGATGTGGAGAATATCACCTGGTAATATTTTGCACCTCTGATGTATAGAAGAAAGTGAGACTGCCCTTTCCGTTTACTTCACAATGAGGACTGGGTATGTGGGTCCGTTTTGACCAACGAGAATTATTCTGTAGCATGTTTAAGCCCAAAAAATTTCAGCGGCAAACAGATAACAAAAACTCATGTCCATCGTGATTGTTTTTATTTTTCATATCGTTATACCTAGCGTCATCCTTCAGGAAATTACGTAGTTTTTGTGCCGAAAACGCTCCTTGAGAGAAAATTTTTTTCTTCAATTTCACTTCCTCCAAAATATATACTTTTTGCAATTTATTTTAAATGGTGGAGGCTCGACGATCCCCGTGTTCGGCCAGTGATCCCAATTTCACAGAATTGAGCACTCTGATAAATTTCTAGCTGTGACATTATAGCAGATCTTATTTTCGTCGAAACATAGCTATTGAGGAAGTGCCGGTTTTAGGAAAAAAGCCACCCGGAAATAAGACCCCCAGAATTGGCAAAGGCGGAAAAAAGCCACCCGGAAATGACTGATATCAATAAACCAATACCGATATTATGTCCGTCAAATGAGTTTTGTATATATAAATGAGAAATTATTAAGCAATGACCTGGGTGGCTTTTTCGCATTTTCATCTCGGGTGGCTTTTTTCCGCTTTTGTCAATTCTGGGGGTCTTTTTTCCAGGTGGCTTTTTTCCGAACCCCGGAAGTGCCGGGGATTGGAGTTGAGAAACTCACTAGGCCTTTTCATCTTTATATCGGAGGGAGAAGGAGAGGTAGGGGTAGGGATAGGGATAGGGATAGGGATAGGGAGAGAGAGAGAGAGAGAGAGAGAGAGAGAAGGGGATAGGGAGAGGTAGGAGTAGGGAGAGAGAGAGAGAGAGAAAGATGTGACACCGCATTCAAGTTCAGGTGGGAAGCGAGACATACAAAGAGAGAGAGAGAGTGAGAGGGAGAGAACGAGGGGGGGGCGCAGAAGCATACGGTACGGTATCAGGAGGGGGGAAGAGAGGGAAAAAGAGACCTTGAATGTGAGGACGATGCCCTTGGACGGAGGGAAGTTGACCTTGGGAGCCCGATTTGGCCTACTTCCCGGCCTCCCTGACATAGTTTCACGGTCGTCCCCTCTTTCCCCCCCTTCCCCCCTTTCCTCCCCACCTCCCGCGCATGCGTTTTGGTGGCAGGGGACGTTGAACCCGATCGATGCCCTCTCTTTTGTCGACCTTCGCCTCTGATTCCCTACAGATCGGAAGGACGATATTCATTTACGTTGCAATTCCTTGGGCAATCTATTGGATTGAAAAAAATACATTTCATATCCCCATATGTGGCTATTATTTGACATTGAGCTATGGTGATTGGTGCATTAGATATGAGATTCTATATTTACCAGTTAATTTTCCAGAAACCACTTCTCCACCCAGTAAATGGCAGGTATTTTTAGTTTTTTTTGTTGTACAAATTACTTCACAGATTAAGAATTCTGAGAAGGAAAGCGAAGTGTGCGTTGGTGAGACCGACGCGTCCATATATTTGTCGGGGTCTGGCCTTGGGTTGATTGGCCTCGCCCAGGTTGAGGGGAGGATGGAGTGGAATGTATGTACGTACGTACCCCGATGGTTTGAGTGCGAAGGACTGAGTCGACCTTGTTCCAAGGTCTCCTGGCCCGGCTCGGGTCGATCACCCAGACCGGGGCCACCCATCTACCCGTCCTCCCCTCATGATGACATGGACTCGTCCGTTCTCTTCTGCCGCTTTTATCGATGAGTCAATCTGGGGAAGGCCAGTCGAGTCGACTCGTCCGGGGAGGTCCGTGTACCATCCATTCCCTTTCCGCGGCTTCATCCCCCCCCCCCATTCCCTCGCCCCGCCTCTTTGAAAGTCATCCTTTATCGTCGACCCACATACCAGGCTTCAAATTTTTAGAGAATATGAGGTGACGCTTGGGATTACGCTAGGTTGTTGGTCTACTGGTAAGCCTGAACGCATGTACAAAAACCATGCTCTTGATTCCACCCCAGTTCAGGTTTAAAGACCTTTTTCACTTTGGCATTGATTCTCGGTCAACCCTCTATGCATATAATTACTTTCTCTTCATTTTCTGGGTTCTTTTTGCTTAATAACATTCATGAAATCACCCAACATGCAATTCAACGTATATTTTCAAATTTCTTTTCCCACGTCAATATTAGTTGTAATTATCAAACGAATTGATATGCCATGTCCTAATTCCGACAGAACTTGTAGTATAAATGCTATGATAAGCTGTAACTTTTGGCGTGTGAAAATACACAAGGGACATTATTTTACCGTGGGGGGTTTGATCGCGTGATCTGTGCAAACTTGAAAAATATAAACAGAAATTAGCAATAGGGGACTTTTCTGGTGCACGTTGCGCTAAAATGCAAGGAGAGTATGTATTTACCTGACTTTACCTGACCATGTTCTTGTTTATCCATTCGTGACCTGATTTCTCATCGTCACACTTCCGCTTTCTTTGAGCTCTCGTGACCTGTCATGTGCTAAGTTCACAATGTTTTGGGAAGGGTGATTGATTCACGGCTTACCTTTTTCACGCTTGTCTCATTTACTGGATGGAATGTCGCAGAATGCTATGAATTTTTTTAATATTTCATTTTAACTACAATGGGACTACAATGAAAGACTGACAAAAGTAAATATAATTTTTCTATTTGCAAAATACTTATAAGCCTCACTCAGGCTCGATCCATCTTTCTTGGCAAGCCAGGAAATTTCCGGGAATTAGTGGTACCTGAACAGAACCACCCCCGTGATCCAGGGAGCCGGCAAATACCGGACTAAAAAATTGGTGGGTCCCCACCACGCTGGAAAACTGGAGTTTTGCCTAAACACCTCTGTATTCCTGAGGTTTCTCATACTTTCAGCGTGCTCTTATGCATCTTTTCTCGTGATCTGCCAAGTCAACAAATTCTCGACAAGCAATTCCTCTTCTTTCTGTTCTCCTTCAACACCTTATGTCATGCAAGGCTTTCTTCTGATTTCGATGTCTTGAGTAATGAAGAAAGTACAGAGCGAGAAGAGCGTTATGACGCATAGCAGGCAGAACACAAGAAAGCCGAGCAGGATGAGAATGACTGAACAATTCTCCCCTTACCTAGGAATTTGCACCCCGTGTCTAATATTAAGCCCTTGTCACCCTCTGGTATAAATTTCAAATAAATAAATAAAGATTTATTTATATTTTGTGCCTGAGGACGTTTCTCGGCATGCTAGGCAGGCTGGGTTTTTCGTGCGCCTGAACGGAGTCGATCGGCTCTGACATCTGGGGTGAGATGAGGTAACAAGTAGTTCCGGTATTCAAGCACAGGTGGCATGATATCATTTTTTTTCTATTTTATTCCGAATCCCAACGATAGAATAGGAATGCAAGGTTCGACGAAGCATGACTTGACTACAATTTTTTTCATCACTACCGCCAGTCCCGGCAGTAATCGCTGTATCCTGTTGGATAAGCAGCGATGACCTTTCCCTTTCCACCATTTCAATCCCCTTTTTCATGTGACTGATTCACGTGCTCTACATCTCGTCGTGACTGGGACCCTTATCCTGTTAATGTACAGATATCACTACTATATAGTATATGTGTGTGTGTGTGTGCGTGCGTGCGTGCGTGCGCGTGCGCAAAAGATTATTACTTAGCACTAGTAGTATTCCCATCAGAGTGGATCCAGTCTATTGAAATTAAGTCCACGAAGCGAGGAGAGTGAGAGCTAAAATGGCTTTAATGGGCCGAAAAGTTGTGCAGGAGTCTCTCTCGTCCTCGACTATACAGGGTACATATATATCAATTCAGGGACAGAGAGTCAGGCCATTAAACAGCTATGACCCGGGATTGGCTTAAGAATGGGGAATACATCCAACAAAACTATCTAATATTCCTGACATTATTTGCCTGACCGAAAAAACAGGTTGAATTTTTTTATACTTTGGCTCAGGGGGGCTGGGCACCCCCTGACGAAGCTGGTCGAACAGCGTCAATAATCTAGCCAAGGGCTTCGGTATCTTTTCCTTGGTAGCCTACTGCCCGGAGCCTCTTGTCTGCCCGGCATTTTACAATAGTTTTGATTATGCTTGTCTGAGGACTCCTGGGGTTGCTGGGTAGTAGCTGATTAATTACCTGTTTCTCTGTCCCTGAATTTATATAATTTATTTTATTCGCAATATCTTGAAAGGGAGCAATAGGAATCTATTTGCATGTATGTCTGTTCATGTATTCATACAGACATACTGGTACATGCGTGCACACATATGGTAGGGGGAGGGAAGAAATGCCCTCAATCAGATTCCAGGAACTCACTGGGCCTTTGTGCACTTCCATTATGCTGTTTATCTCCATAACATTCCATCCTCGGAATTTTTTAATGCGTAGTTCTCTTTTTTTCCCATTTCCAGCGTATTTTCATTTCCGAAGTCAGTAAGGCTAGGCATACTGAGATTAATGGATTTTATATTTTAGTAAAAGTATGCATATGATGAAAAGGACAGAGAAGAAACCGTTGAAAGCTCGTTTAAATTATAGTCATGTTTATTCAGGTACTACTGTAAATGCTTATAGTAAATAGTGATTACCTGTACCTGTAGATCATGAAAGTCCATGGAAGAGTCCATCTCCAAAAGGTATCAATTGAGAATGAGGTTAACCACTGGCTGCTGCCAACAATCCCTTGCAGAAGTCTCCTTCATTCCTTGTAGAAATTCCTTGTAGAAATCTGTAAGCTGTCATAATGTATAACTTTTTTTGGCACGAGTTTGATAGAGCTGAACAGAAGCCTTAAAACATTGAACGAGCATGATTTCTTCACGGTAATGTAGTTTAATCACCTGCACTACATTAGATGTTTAAATGTGCATCCTCCGCTGCAGTGCAGGACCTCAAACGATCCTCAATCCCTCCCATTCATGAAGATCGGGCAAATATCACCAGTGACATGGTTGCCAACACTGTCCTCCGAGAGTCGTATTATGAGAATCTGCAGTGCAATGGAGAGTCAGCATTCCAAACAGTTGACTTGGTATAGTTATGGGTATCCCATGTTAATATTCAATATGTATACAGTACACAATGGTCATTTTCTGTTTGATGACTTCCATCTGTACAGGTTGTTTCATAAATAACCGAACGTACTCATATCTTGGTAACTGAGAAACACAGGAACTTGTTACATTCCTCATTTTAATGCACAATTGTACAAGTAATCCAATATTAACTCAAAAATTAAAAAAATTTGTCCTCCAATCGTCTAGGCACCCCTGCAAGCGTCCCTATACGAAATTACACTTTTTGGCACAGGATTTGACTGATCCCTTGCAAAACCTCAGTGATTTCTCCTTTGGGTTCATGAATGGTTGCCGGTATCTGAGCATAAACCCTTTCCTTCATTACGCCGAATAAAAAGTAAAACATTAGTCACAAATGTCTCGCATTTTGAGATATTTTCAAGAAAAGTGGTAAAAGTTGAGAAAACATGACAATTCGTACTGCAATATTTGGAAGTTTTTGGATTTTATTGGAAAATGACGAGGGATTCCCCTTTTCAGTATTTTGTTATTTTTTCCTAAAAGAAGGCGACCTTGACCAGAACTTTCGTGCCTTTTTGAAGTTTTCGGAAAAAGCGTTCGTTCAACAGAAAAAGCAGATGAGAGCTTGCCTAATGATACAAGTATCACTGACGTAATTATGAAGGGGGAGCAGCAGAAGGAAAAACAGGAATTCCGAACTAAGTACAAGGGGGGAAAAAAAAAAGAAGTGCATGGATAGCTCCACACATTTTATTGCTATAACCCTCCATGGTATTGACAAGGATGGAACGACGACGTATCTGATTAATATATCTCTCTGAAGAAAGTTAAAGGAAGCTCTATCTTGAGCTTCCTTTGGAAGGACAGTGGAAGGACAGTGAAGAAAAATCCCGGAAATTGTCATGCAGCCTGCGTCTTCAGGGTTGAGGTTGCAAGCTTAACATGACACCCTAGACGCAGGCTGCACGACAATTTCCGGGATTTTTCTTCACTGTCCTTCCTCTTTTAACTTTCTTCAGCCTTGCCCTTTTCTGCAGGCTTACTTCCCATTGTCTGGTTATTCAATCTGTCAGGTTTGGTTCGGGAGAGAGGTTTTTCTCCGTTCTACGTTCCTACATTCTTCCTTTCTGGAATTGCAAGATTTCCAACCAGTTCACCCTGTCTTTGTTTTTTTTTCTGTTATGATTTATGCTATATCGTATTTCATTTTTTTTTAGCTTATGCAAAGTGGGTGGATCATGTGTATCTAATGAAAAGGTTATAATAAAAAAAGCAGCTGCTAAGAGCGGCGTTTCTTATCTAATGAAAGTTTTAAAGAAGGATTTATCAATAATTAAACAGATATTTGGTTATAGTTATATAGTATATAACTGATTGCTGATTACTTCCGTCTCCAAATTCAATCACTCTATGAAAATTGCTTAATTTAGATGTAGTATGTATATATTTCCTCTTAAATCTGTCGTGAAACGAGAATCACTTGTCTAGAGTCGAGTGAACCCTTAAGGGGTTTTCTTTCGTGCCTTCCAGGCGAATGAAGGCAATCATCACATGACTGGGATGGGGAGGACATGATAGGAATGATGATGACCAGGAACACGTGGACGACTTGCTTCCACTCTCCAACTACGTTACCTTTCCGCTACTCATTTCTGTTGGCTCTAAACTGGTTCATTTCCGAGTCTTTGGGGTGCGTTCTTTCGCTT